ATTTAGAAAATGCTGTAAGGCATTTCAAACCATTAAGGAAAGTTTCCTTGAATTCTGTTCTTCTAGAACAGCGGTTCTCAACCTTCCTAATGCCATGACCCCTTAATACAGTTCCTCATGTTGTGGTGACCCCCAACCATAAAATTATTTTCGTTGCTCCTCTATAACTGTAATTTTGCTACTGTTATGAATCGTAATGTAAATATCTTCTTGTTTTCCGATGGTCTTAGGCGACCCCTGTGAAAGGGGTCGTGACCCACAGGCTGAGAACTGCTGTTCTAGAACTTCCTAACTTAAATGCTTAATCCATTTCTTTTCATTATATCTGTTCTAATGAGAAGGAAATCAAAGGCTATGATTCTCCCCCAAGTACAGCTTTGGCTGCACCTCAGTTTCAATGTGTTTACAGTTCTGCTCATGTTATTCTGTCTTGGCTGTTTTAATTTCCTTTTTAACTCAAGAGGTGGGTATAAAGGAATTTTGATACTTCCAAGTGGTCAGGCTTTTTATTTCTTTATAATTTTTTTGGAATGTTATTTCTAGATTTATTGCATTGTTCTTAAACATGGTTTATACCTTGGTTTTGGTGTTTTTTTTTTAATGTTAGAGGCTTTCACTGTGCCCAGTATGTGGTCAATTATTATAAAAGGGGTGTGGTCCCTATTTACGTACAAGCCTTTAAAGAATAAATACTTCTAGGGCCAGCCAAGTGGCTCAGTTGGTTAAGAGCTCGCTCAAGAGTGTGAGCTCTGAGCAACAGGGTTGCCGTTCCCGGCCTGAGCTGAGCTGCTGATGAGCTGCCAACAGGTAGCAGGATGGCTCAGCTAAAAAAAAAAAAAAAAAAAAAAGAAGAATAAGTGTACTTCTAACTAAGGTTCCCTTAGAACCACATGGAAGCTCTTACAGGTCGCACCCCAGCCTTTTCATCAGTGGCTCTGGGTCCAGGGCGCAAGGGTGTGTGTTCTGAGCAGCTCCACAGGTGAGCAGGATGTGCGCACTTGGATAGAGTTGGCTTGATCACCATTAAGGTTCCTCCCTCCCACTTATTTTTCATGTCTTTGCTTGGCCAAGGATGGTGAAAGCATACTTTCCTGCCCTCTAGCATCTTTCCCATATATTCTTCAACCTGATGTAACGAGAAGCAGGCACATTCATGACGTCATATCTGCACTGCAGAATGGACTCCGTCATCCAATTCTTAAGGATTTTTCAGAGATGGCACCAAGGCTAGAACACCATAATTGAAAAAGTCTTGACAACATAAAAATTAAACTTGTAAACCACTGACACAAATGAAAAAAAAACCTCCATCATTAACAACAGTTGAAAAGTTAGGAGAAAAGTTGCCAACATAGGTCACAAAAGACAAGCATCCTTCCTATATAAAGAACTCTTACAAATCAATAAGCGCAATATAAGTTATGCGTATGGGATACTACAGGAAGGCAGTATTGGGGGTTAGCTGGGATGATTACTAAACTCTCTGAGTTTCAGCTTCTCCATAAGTAAAACAGGGATGATAACAGTACTTACTTCACCGACCTGTGAGGAAGACTCACAAAAATGATCCAAGCTGGATGCCCGGCATAGAGTGCTTAAGAAATGGTGACATAAGTCATTGTTGATATGAACAGAAACAATGATTTCTGTTAAAAAGTTCAGGCAGCAAAAAAAGAAACCAACCATTGAAACAGCCAACAACTTGGATGGATCTCCAGAACAGTATGCTAAGTGGAAAAAGCCAGTCTTGGAAGGTGAGATGCTGCGTAGTCCCTGTGTGTATAACATTCTCAACATGACAAAATGTGGACACAGAGAACAGTAAATCAGTGGTCACTGGGTGCAGGGTGGTGGGTAGGGGTGACTACGAAGAGGCAGCAGGGGGGATATCGTGGGGTGATGGAACAGCTCTGTATCTCGACTGTGGTGGTGGCTTAATAGCACTACACGTGGGACAAAATTGCATAAAACTACACACGCATGCACCTGCACATACACTGGTGAGACTCAAATATACTGTGCACTGTACCAAGGTCATCTTCCCAGTTGCATTATTATGTTATAGACATGCAGGACATCCCCGATGGGGGAGGCTGAGAGGTGGGGCACAGGACCTCCCTGACATTTCTTTGCAACTTACCATCTATAATGACTTCTAAATAAGAAGTTAGCCAACACTAAAAAGTTGATCAACTCCAAAAAAAGGGGGAGGGAAAGTCATAAAAAACTCATGGCCCATCAGCTTTTAGAAAGATTATCACCCATTATTAATCAAATAAATGCCCACTGAAATAATGACATGTTCCTCTTCACCTATTAAACACAAAGAGATTTTAAAAGACTTGGAGCTGGCTAAGAGGTGGGGACACCTGGGGGGCATTTTCATGGTGCATACACCTCCAAAGCCAGAAGTTTTCTGTCTAGTGACTTCTCCAGAGGACAGCTGCACACGCCCTCTTCTAAGTGTTAGATTTTTACCCCAGCATGCATTACGTTTACACAAACCAAGAAAGCTGCGGAGGTAGAGGGCCGGCTGAGTGGCTCAGTTGGTTAAGAGCTCGCTCAAGAGTTTGAGCTCTGAGCAACAGCGGTTCGAGTCAGCCCGAGCTGAGCAGCCATGAGCTGCCAACAGATGGCGGGATGGCTCAGCTAAAAAAAAAAAAAAAGCTGCGGAGGAATTAAAAATAGGAGAGGTGCTTTCTTTGGTGGGACAAGCACTCCCCGCTGTCTTGAGTGGCCTCAATCCTGCAGTGTTTGGCAGAGATCTGTGCCTCGGGGTTTCCAAAACAGGAGGGACTAGAAAATTTTTGTTTTAAATGTCTTCCCATCCAGAGAATTACCAGAAAGCCTCTGCCTGGCACTGATGGGTCTTTAATGCCTTGCTGACATTTTTTAAAAACATAGATGACCCAAGCAGCCCTTCAGCAAGGATGTCCACAAACCCCAACACTCAGCTACTATTGCAGTTATTTTCAGAGATGTCTCCCATTTCAGGTCAGGCTGCTGATTTTCTGATAGAAAGTGCCCTTTTGGAATGTATTTAAGAGAAGCTGACTTACAGTAACACTAGGAAAACGCCAGACCAGGACGTACAAAGAGGGGTGAGGGAAGAGAACGTGGTTGGAGGACTTATATCTGGAAACTCTTGACAAATGGTGGTGTCCCTCTTAAGCTGACACAGCCCATCTGGAAGGGGGTGACACACTTATGATGAAAGTGGGAAGGAACAGGCAAGACCCTCCCCATCAAAAATGGTCAGGGCAAGGTCAAAGGGAGGGCCAGGGCTGCAGAAACCACAGGCTTCACAGGGGTCAGACTCAGGTCACACAGGTGGGCAGGAGGCCAGGTCAGGAGTGGAGTGTTCTAGAGGGGTTCCTTCCCTTGGACCATGGCTTTGGCTACTTATGGTTGCTGGCCTTTTGAATGGACACTGGACTAGGAAAGGCAACCGAGGGCACAGGCTAGGGGGAGATGAGGGCACATCTGTGCCACCTCCTCTGGGAAGCCCCCAGAGACTGACCCTCTGCCCAAGGTAGGGAAGTAGCAGCACCCCAGCTCCTGGGGGCTGTTTCCGGGGGGTGGGGGTGGGGATTTCCATACCTAAGGAAGGACTCCGGCAGGCCCTGTGGCTACTTCCTCAGGCAGAGAGGAAGGCCAGTGCAGGGCAACAGGAGCGGCAACACAACGCTCTTCCTTTTGTGGGATGCATGAGCACAAACCACCCCCTCAAAACGCTATCCATCTCCAGCCAGAGCTCATTGGATTCCCCAATGGAATTTGCAGACGACTCTAAGACAGAACCTTCCATCCTGGATCCCAGAGACATGGAAGGACATGGCCCCAACTCTGAAACCCCAGAAAGATGCCAAAGTCCACGCAGAGTGCCGGATGTGCTGGAGTCTCAGCCAACCTCCCCAGGGGATCCCTCTAACCCCTTGACAGCCACAGTGGACTCCTTAACATGACACCTCTCTGCCCACAGCCCTCCAGGGCTCCCATCTCCCTGGGGGTGAAAGCCCAAGTCCTCTCCGCAGCCTACAAGGCCCTGCCCTCATCTCTTCCCTCTCCCCATCACTTACTTGCTCACTTTGCTCCAGCCACACCAGGCACTGACCTGCCCTTAGCATATGCTGTGCCCCTGCCGAGAAAGCCTCGTCCCCCAGGTCTCTTCTCAAACATCTCCTTGGAGACCATCCCTGATTGGCCTAGCTTTGTGACAGTGCCCTCCTCAGTCCCTTCGTGCTGTACTGTCCATCCTCCCCCAGCCATACCATCAGCACTCAGTGGCCAGTAGGGTGACCGACTCGTCCAGATTTGCCTGAACACACCCCATTTGAATGCTTACGGTCTCAGGTGACCAGGAAGCTCCTGGGTCCTGAGCAAATCAGGATGGTCAGTCAGCCCAGTGCTGGGTCCTGTATACCATAAGTGCCACACACATTTGAATGTAAACAGCAGGGAGCTAGGCCTCTCACACGGCTTACAGGAAGGGCAAGATTTGTCAAGGGCTGGGTTTCCATGTCATGCCCCTCTGGGCCTTAGTTTCCTTCTTGGAGATAGACTGGAGATCCAGGACCCCATGGGGCCAAGAGGACCTTGGAGGCTCAAGTTTCGGCCTCACAAGGGCCCCCACCCCCAGGCCAGCCAACCAGGCTCCATGTGCAAGACCGACAGGGGACACCTTACTGACTTCCAGGCTCCCTCTGTTACACTCAACACAACACAGGTCGACAACACAGGTCATGTGACCGTGACAGTAACTGGTTCTTGGGGTTCTCTCAGGCTGCCCACCCCCATACTCACATGTGTACTTCAGGCCCCAATCCTCCACTCCAGTGGCTAGGCCTGGGTGCTGACCCCCAACACCTCCTCCTCCAGTGCTGAGAGCCTGCGGGCAGCCCCACCCAGTGTTGCATCCCACAGGACTCTGCTCCAGCCCACCCTCTATACATGCTCATCTTTTCATGCAAACGTGCAGCCCCAAGGCAGTAAGGTCCTACCTGAGCCTCCAAACTGGGTGCCAGCCAGTGAGGTGGGCCGGCCCTTCCCGTTGGCCACTGGCAGGGGGAACATCTGTGAAGAGAGAAAGAGGTGAGTGGGGTAGGGGGTACACCTGGGAACGTGGCTGTGCGTAGGGATCCTATCGTATCAGGGACCCCAGGCACCCCATGGACCCTGATGGCCCAGGCAGAAAATGGCAGCCAGGGGCCCCCCACTGCCCGCTCATGCCTGGAGAAAGGTTCTGCAGGACAAACCCTGACAGAACCGCCACACCAGCAACAGTATGCAATGCTTTAAAAGGCTGCACGAGGTTTATATTTTTAAGGGTACAGCAAGTATTTAGACCTTGATATAATTTTTCTGCTCTCAGAGGTGATACAAAGTTTCCTTTAAATTTCAGCTTAAAAGAAATCATTTATATCCATCAGGTAGACCAGCCAAGGTCCCCCAGCCGCTGCCGTCCTGCCCACCACCATGTTGCTGACCTTTCCTGATAAGCCCAGAATCACCTTCTGTGTGCGCCCCTGAGCCCAAGTGGCACAGACGTGGGGAGGGCAGCCAGCCCCCGCCAGAGACAGGGAGAGTAACTGGGTTGAGTGTCCCCCACGTGCCGGGCTCTGTGCTCAGTGGCTGCCCAGGTGGCCTTCACTGTATTCTCACCTTTGATGCCTGCCCATCATTGGGGGAAACTGAGGCTGAGAGAGGCAGTAAGCTGGAGACCAGGTAAAGGCTATACACCCTCATGGTTGATTGGGTGGCTCTCCCAGGTGCCACCCTCCCCACCCAAACCGAGTGTTAAGTCCTGAAGATTAAACAGCTTAGCAGTACAAACAGGAAAACCCAACATCAATAAGCCCTATGCCACATCCCTGCCCTGCCCCAAGGGTCTGTGTTTTACAGATTCCATTTGGGACCTGAGTGATTAAAAGTAGCCAGACTCAAAGCCAGGGGCTTGTTAGAATGTGGCTGATGGTCCCCCAAACCGTCCCCAGCAGCCAGGAGGTGACAGCACAGCTCTTACCTATGGGTGTGATTTTCATGTGGGCACCATGAGCTCTGGGAGGGGTCCATGAAGTGGGGTCCTTTACCCCACACTGCATCCCACAGGAGGGGAAACTGAAGCCACATGCTCACTTGGCTCTGACAGGAGTTAGAGCAGAGGCTCATGGGTAGGTGGCAGTGGGCTCTCATAGGGTCTATGCCCTGAGGGGGCATCACTGTGGTCACTCAACTGGGCCAGCCTCCCCAGGGCCCTATTCTCTAAGATGGGCCTTTTCCCCACTGGAACGGGGGCCTGTATTGGGGACAGGCTGGCCTGAGCCAGGACCAGAACCAACCAGACCCCAAGCCTGGAGATCAGCAACTAAGCACATGGGGCTTATCTTTATTTCATACCCTAGAGTGCCAGGGTCTCTGACACAGCACTTGCCACAGGGGCACTGGGCCGTGGCCTGTGGGTGCCCATAGGCTATGTCATCACCAGCACAGATAGGCCCCTGTACCCCTGGAGCCTCAATATTCTCTTCTGTGAAATGGACACAGGGCTCTGACCACGTGGAATGTTGTGAAACCCCAATGCACGTGGGCGTCTTGGGCATGTGGGGGCCTCTGTCCATGCACCCAGCTCAGAGGGATACCCAGCTGGGTCACAGGGCAAGTGCTGCCCACCCCCTCGTCCTCCCAGCCCCTCATCAGGCCCACTCAGGGAATACTCTCAACACCTGCTGTACTTTTCTGACCCAGGAAGCTCAGCGCCAGGCAGAGATGGCATTTAACAGCTCTGGGTTTCTTTTCTTGCATTAATTTTGACAGTTGCCTCTCCTACTTTTGAAAACCTGGCCCAAGGAAGCACTTCCCTTTAAGTTCTTTTGCTTCAGTTTAAAAACAAGGTGTTTCAAAGAACAAATTAATTTTCTCTGGGGCAGGTGGGAGGGGCTGCTATGGAGGAAGGAAAGGAGGGATGTGAGCTTAAATAGGGGGCTACCTCTGCACCCTGTGACTTGGCGAGGCCTCTCTCCTATAACAAGGAGAGGATAAAAATCCAGCTCTGGGTTTCAAGGGAAGACACCAGGCACCCGACTCTCTCAGGCTTCATTTCTTTATCTGTGAAAAGCGTTTCTGATTGAGCTGAGGCGAGGGAGACATTCAGACCCTTGACAGAAGGGGGAGGCTGATAAGTGGTTCAGGGGCTCTAGGATGGTGGAGGTGAAGGGGCCAGGTCTAAACCTGTGCCCTCCCACCCTCAAGCTGGCCTGTTCCGGCCCAGTAGACTGTGACTTGTCAGTTTAACAAAAAAAAAAACAACAAAACTGAGCTGCACCCCTGGTTACTCAGCCAGAGAGGCGAAAATAAAACAGGGCTTAAAAATACAGGCATGGTCTTTCCGGAGCTGCGGCCCGCTGCCCGTGGGCTGTTTTTCCACAGGGTAGCTGGTGTTGTTTCAGTTTGGGGACTTGTTTGCGACAGACCTCAGTGACCTGGGCCTTCTACCAGTAGAGAGTTAAATTCAGACCGAAAGCTTCCTCCCCCAACCTATTTCAAACCGAAATGGTACCTACGGGGGAAAGAGAGACTTAGGAAACTATCCATATTGGGTTCGGTCTGTTTGCAAGGAAACCCTGACCACCCCCACTGACACACGGGACAAGAGGCCCATGGTGGACAGGCTGAGGCCCCAGTCTAAGGTGCAATCCAGCTCCCGACATCCAATAGAGTTCTGCTCTGATTTCTGGCCTCACTGGGCCTGTCTGGGCTGTGTGACCTCTAGATGCCAGCAGCCCCTCTGAACTTCCATCTGCCTGGCTGGGAAACAGGCCATTCCGGGGTGGATCAAACAGCCTGGGAAGTATAAGAATCCCTCACCTCCCCCCACAGGCCTGCCTCTCCCCAACAATAACAATGGCAGTAACAGTGGTGCTGGCTGAGTACTAACCACAAATGTCCACACTCCTTATGGGGTCTCCTCCTGTCACCAGACTGCACTAACCACTGTGTAGCTAAATAATGGAAAAGTCAGACTGACCATCTGTATCCTCTGCCCCATTCATTGAGGGTCCCCACACGAGTCAGCCAGGTGCTGGGCCCCCCTCGTGTATTTTTTCACCCATGATGTAAAAAAATAACCCTGAACACACCCATTTTACAAATCAGAAGGCCAGGGCCACTGTGTGCCCACAGCCAAGCAGGGGTCCCCTTGGAGGCTCTGGGCATCCCCTCCTAGTCTCTGGGCCTTGGTTTTCCTATCTGTAAAGTGGTGGACTGGTCCTATTCTGTGCCTGAGCAAACACCTGGGTGACAGAGGCCTTTGGAAGCCAACAAGGGCCCCAATGCTGTACAATGCCATGGGGTGGTCAGCCTGCTCATCAGAAGGTACCCCAATACCCCCAGACCCACTGGGAGCCCTTCCATCCAAACAAGTGTAAGTAAGGCTTGACTGTTGGGGGTGTTTTGGCAGATGCTTCCTCCCCAGGAATCCTGGAGGCACAGGGAGTGTTGCAGAGGTGGGCAGGGACTGGCTTACCATGCTGAAGTCCAGGAGGTCGCTGAGCTCCTTGTCTGTGCCCACTGGCGCCATCCTCTGCGGCTGGTTCATTCTCCAGCTGCAACGGTGGGCTCAGGGGCCACAATGGGTACCACAGGCCTAGAGACAGCCCTGCGTGGTGGCCTGCAGTGGTGAATGCAGGGAGGGGCAGGGACAGACACAGGGAAACAGGGATGGGAGAGAAGAGGTTTGAGTGACTGTGGCCAAGGTGGACAGATGGGGAGTGGGGGAACTACTTAAAAAGCACTTCTAACTGCCCTGAGGGTCTAGGTCCTCCAAGACTGAGTTCCTTCCAGACCCAGGGGGTGGGAGTGGGGCAGCCAGGATTCCAGGATTTGGGTCCCTGGAGAGACCCCTCCCCAGAGCGCTCGGGGAGTCTGAACAATGAAGGGGGGAATATGCACAAATACAGATTTCCTAATTCCCTCTGCGACCACCAGGGACTCAAGTTGCAAATTTTAAACTGGAAGCAGAGCGGGAGCAGTCCCTTCCCCGCTCGCTGGGCCAGAACCCGCCCCCTCTCCCCGCCACATCTCCCATTTCCAACCACCCAGGTTTTCCCTGGTCCCGCCCCCGGGAAGGGGGAGGGGCGACCCAGACCCCGCCCCAAGGAAATTTGGTGACCCCCCCTCCCCCAGCAGCTGTCACAGCACGTTTAAGTTCCGGTCACCCCCAAATTCAAAGCGAAAGAAATCCTCAAGAAGGCCAAGCTCCTTGCCCGCTTCAAGGCTGAATGGGGGACAGCCCCGCGCGCGGACCTACCCTCAAAGCTTCCCTCCATCCTTCACCTCCTCCTCCCATAAAAAACAACCCAAGTCAGAAAAAAAAAACCCAAGCCTAGGTTATTATTTTATTGTCATGATGTATCCGGTAATTATTTTTAAGCAACTCTGAAAATATCCCCTGCCTCCCGCCGCTGGGGGAGGGGGTCTCTAGACTAAGGTCCTCCGCATAGTCCCAGGGGGCTCCATTCTAGAACGCGGGTGGGGTATCCACCTGCCAGACCCCTTCCGACCCCCAGAAAGGGGCGCAGAGCAGGTCTCCGTCGTCCCATAAACGGACAGCGAAGCCCCTCCGGTTTCCTCCCCGGATCCCCAGGCGGGGGCGGCTGCGGGGACACCACGGAGACTGCGGGGAAGAGGAGGTTCCGAGGCCAAGGGAGACCCAACTTCAGAGGCGGAGAAACCCCCGCTTTGTTTGCCAACTAGAGACGGGGTGTGAAACGGCTGCCCCTGCGCACCCCTCCCCCGCTAACTTTTTTCTTTTTTGAAGGGCGTGTGAAACTGACTTTTTTGAGTACGAAACCGCACTTTTTTGTGGGGTAGTTGAAACCGATTTTAAAACAGACTAGAAAGCGGGGGGGGGGGCTGAAACAGGCTTTTATAGGGGAGTTGACTCTTACGGGGTGTCACAAAGACTATGGGGGACTCAAAAGGTGTTTGGAACCACTTTGAGAATAAGGGGGCACAGGGCGTCTTCCTTTCGGAGAGGAAAGGTGGAACGAGGCCCGGGAAACCAACCCCCCACCCCCAACTCCCGAAGCCCGGGCAGGCGGCGCGGCCCGGGAGCCCTTTGAAGCTGGGGCGCCACGGCCGCTCTGTTCGCGACCCCAAGCCACCGCTGCCGCCTCTCCCCGCATTAACGCGGAGCAGATATTCCCTCCCCAGCCCCCGGCCCTAAACCTGAGCTGCAGTTCGCGCGGCCTCACCTTCCCCGAGCAGACAAAAGGACGCTCCCCTCCCGCGCTCCCCCTCCAAACTCTGGCTCCCGGCTGGGCCCCTCCCCGGGGAGGGGGCATCCCGAGAACTCCGCTCTGGGCCCTGACCGCCCCCCCCCTCAAAGTTCGGTGACCCCTCGGGCGCCCCCGCCCCGGGCTCCGCAAAGTTTCGTTAAGTGGCCCGCCTGACCGCGGAGGAGGAGCGCGCGGCCCTCGCGTGCGCCGACCCCTCCACGTCGCCCGCCCCCCTTTCCCTGCGCGCAAAGTTGGAGAACAATGACTCCGGGCCGCCGCTGCCCCGCGCCCGACCCGCATGGGGCAGGGAGCGCACTCCCGAACGCTATCCCCGTCCCAACTTCCCGGCCCTCGGGACGTGGGGAGGTCCGGGGCAACTTTGCACAAAGACGCTGGGCCCCCAACGCGGCGCGGCCCGCCGGGTCTCGACGCGGTTACCTGCTCTGCGCGGCCCGGCCCGCAGCGCGCGGGGGGCGGCGCATGAACGGCCCCCCCGGACAAAGGGGCGTCCGCCAGCCCCGAGGGTCGCGCGTAGGCGGCGCGGCGCGTGGCCCGGGCCCCTCCCTGAGTGCCCGCCCCGCGGGGCCCGTGCACCGCCGGGACGCTGGCGGAGGCGTCGTTCGTGGAGCCGCAGTGTCAGCCGCCGCGTCCGGTGGGCTCAGTCCGGCCCGCTACGCCCGCGGCCACCGCCGCTGCCTCATCTTCCTGCGGCGGGAGACATGTTCCGCCCCCCGCCCGCGCGCCGGCCACGCCCACTCCAGGGCACGCCTACGCCCCGCCCCACGACCCACGCCCCGCCTGATGCCATCGTGGATCCCTCCGCCGCAGCCCTCTGCCGCAGCCCTCCGCGCATCCTGCTCGCGGCTTGCTCTCCAGTGCGCCCACAGGTGTTGGCTGCGGCGTCGCGGAAGAGGCCGGAGCCTGAAAGCGGGGGCGCCCAGCGAGTCCGTCAGCAGACAGCACCGGGAACCAGCAGGGACTATCTTCCAGCGCGGAGGCGTACGTGGATTGGGAGTGCACATCCTGTTTGACGCAAGCGGGAAAGGACCGTGAGATGGAAAGATAAGGCAGATCGACGATATCCAATCGGAGGGCGCGAAAGCCTGATTGGCGGGGCTGCCAGCCATTCGTGAAGAGGCCACGCCCTCTTCACGCTTTCTGTGAGGCCCAGCGAAGAAAGAGGCAGGACTCTCCGAGCAAGAGGCCGCGAGAAGCGTCGGGGGTGGGCTTTGGAGTTTTATTCTCAGGTTTGCGTGGCCGCCCGCGCGGCCTCTTGGACTTTGTCGTGTCTGCGTTCCTAGAGCTGGCTCCGGTGTTCGGTGTTGCGAGCGGGCATCCAGGCCCAGAGCGAACGAATCAGACCCATTTCACTGTCGGGGAAACCGAGGTCAGCTCTATTTCAGGGTTAGAGAGTCCCGCGTGTAACCCGCACTATACCTGTGACTCGCTGGGTCTGTTTCCCCATCTGTAACATGGAATTTGGACCTGAGTTTGGACAGGGCTAAGGCCAGTCTAGGCCTTCTGATTCTCAGTGACCTGTTTCCACTTAGTTCCAAAGTTCCCCCCACAGCAAAGGGCTCCTCAGCTTTTTAAAGACCACAGACCCTACAAAATGGGAATAATTATTATAAATTAAATAACACACTCTTCCGTGGCCATCTGTGTCCCCAGAGAGAAAGCTACATGGCTTTCAGGCTTGGGAAGAGGTCACCATCCCCATGGCCTGAGGGGCTCAGCAAAGGCCACAAGGGCCACCTCCCTGTTCTGGAACCTACGAGGCTCATTCCCACCTCTGGGTCTTTGTCCTTCCTGTGCCCCCAGCCTCATTGCTCTTCTACCCCCACCTAGAGCCTTTTAATCACCACAGTTTAGGGCTGCTCCAGCCCAGAGAGCTGGGCTGAAAGGAAGGTAGAAAAGTGGGGGTTCTGGGGGAAGGAGTGGAGAAGACCCAAGGGAAACGTAGGGACTCTTAATAAAGTCACAAGCCCCTCCTGCTACACTGGAACGGGGCTGGCTGATCCTCACCCTGACCCCTTTCCGGGCCTGGGTAAGGGGTATGGATAGTGGGATATTGAGTCCCTCTTCCCTCCCCATCTCACTGTGATCTTGGGCAAATTCTGGCTGCACTCTAGGCCTCAGTTTCCCCATCAGGAAAATGGAAGGACACAGAGTATTTGCCCACAGCTCTTGCCTGCATCCCTCAGCCTCTCCCCACTAATGGATCTGGGACTCTAGAGTGAGGGTCCCTTCTTCTCTCCAGCCTTTACTGGTGGCCCAGCCCTGACCCCACAGGTCTGTGGTCTACTCTGGCTTCCCTCCAGCCTGGGAGGTTTCTGGAAGAACAGGCTGAGGCCCAGGCTTCTTGGGGTCCCCAGCCTCATTCAGGGTAGGTCAGCCTTTGTCCCCCAATGCTGAGTGTAAACAATTGGGTTGGGCCAGTGTTCCTGGGGTGGTCCTGGACACACCCAGTGAAGGGGGGAATGGTCCATGCGATTATTGAACACCGACTGTGTGCCAGGCTTGATGCTGGGCGTTGGGGTACAGTGGTACTTGTGACCTATCCAGTCCCTGTCCTCCAAAGCAAACTGGGCCTGCTAAAGAGCTCCCCGCTTTAGTCCCAAAGGTGGCACTTTCCATCCACACTTTTGGCGGTCAGGTTCTCACACCTATTGTCCAGATGAGGAAACTGAGACTCAGACAGCTCATCCTTGGGCCCCAATTCACTCTGGAGTTCACACCTGCCAGGAGGCCCTCCTGGCTCCACAAACCACCATTGTCCTCCTGGGGAGGCCTGGTGTGGGGCTGAGTCACCAGGTGGAGCAGCCCATGGGGGGCCCCCATTAAGTTGCCACCTCTGCCCAGCCCAGAGGCCCAGGTGTGCCCTACAGGGCCCTGGCACAGGGACAGGCAGCCAGCGGCTGGTGCCAGGGGCCCTTGAGGGCAGCCCACAGCCTGCCCGCCTCCACCTGCCTGACTGTGGCCTTTGTTCTCTGAGTGCCCCAGGCACTGCAGGCAGGAACCAGAGACCTGCCTCCCTTGCCTGTTGTCTCCTCCTTCCACCTGAGCCACACCTACTGTGCACACCCCAGGCTGGGGACCCCACAGTGAGGGAGGTGACCCCATTTCTGGTTGGAAAAACTCATGCCAAAGACAGATTTCCACCAGTGAGTGTGTGTGGGGGTATTGGGGGATAGAACTTGGCATGGTGGTAGAAGCTTCCGCAAGACAGACACAGTAGGTGTGTGGGCCACAGTTGTCCACGGAGATAATGTATTGGGACTTTAGGGCCACTCTCCCAACACCCCTTTTCATTTGTCTCCAAAAAAGGGACCTTCTCTTGGAGTGTTAACAGACTCCCCTCCCACCTCAACCCCCACCCCAACACACACACTCTCTCCCACCCCACCCAGCTCCTCCCTGCATTTCAGAAGCTGTAGCAGGAGGGAGGACTGCTTATCACTCAAGCCAGACCTGCTCACATTCACACACACACACACCCCATTTCACCCTCCCAGCATGCACTCCTGCAGGGATGACAGCTGCCTCTGGAGCTGGGGGCTTCTTGGTCCATTTGACCCTCATGGAGGGGTCTGACCCCAACATGTCCATGCTTACCATGACCCCCCCAACCAGTGGCCTGGGTCAGGTCTCATTCATTCATTTATTGATTCTCTCTGGGAGCGAGGTTCCTCCAAGGCCTGCCGGTTGTGCCTGGGGTTAGGGGTCTCCCTGGAGATGGCATTGGGGAGAGTATTACCCTCCCCAGATGAGGAAGGAAATGCCAGCCATGGTGCGTGTTCAGTGGCCGGTGAAGCAGCAGGTCCACCAGCGGCTCCCAGGCCTGACTTCTCTGGCACTCAACCATGAATACAAGGAGGGGAGGGACCCCTGCCCCTCCACCCGGGCACTGGACCTGGGGAGCAGTTGGACCGTGAGAGCTGGTCAGGGGGCTCTGAAGGTGATCCAAGCCCAGCCTCACAGCTCCCATTGTTGGGATGTCAGATAAAGATCCAGGAGGGTTTCTAAATGTGACCCACAGGACCCCAACCTCCCTGGGGTGTGTCCTCTGGCTAAAAACACACTTGGGTGTGACCAGCAGGAGGCGCGAAGTTGATGGGCAGAGCAGGGAGCATCCTAGGCAGGGGAATTGCCAGGGCAAAGGCTGGGAGGTGGGACTGCACAGGGTGTATTTAAGGAAGCCTCGAGGCTGGAGCCCCAAGAAATGGAGGAAAGAGGAGCCAAGGTTGGAGGGCGGGGCCTCAGACTCCACAGGGAGGGGTCAGGTCCTAATGGTGAAGGCATGAGGGAGCCACCATGGTGGGAAGAGGGACATGATCTCTGTGGCTGCATATGGAGGAGGGTTCAGCGGGGAGAAGGTGGGATGGTCGTTGAGGGAGAGAAGGGTGGGCATGGGGCTGTGGATTTGGGATAAGTTTGTGGGGGGACTGAAGGCTCACCCATGAGTTGGGGACAAGGAGACAGCCACTCCATCAGTATTGAGTGTGGGGCTGGGGATCTGAGTGCATCAATAGACTCCCCAAGCAAGGGCGTTTGGGGGCCAGTGAAGGAATGAAAAGGGCAGGTCAGGAGAGGCTGTGTGCCAGGTAGAGGTCAGTAAATGAATGAATGAGCCCTGACCTGGACTGAACCCGAACCCAGCATGGGCCCCAACCCTGGACTGGGCCCCAAGCCTAGGCTGGGCCCCCTCACCTGGATGGAACCCGGCCACCACACTGAGCTCTTTGCACCTGGTCCCTACCGGCATGGTCACTACCCACCACCCAGGCAAGTGCCACCTTCTGAGGGCAGCCCTTCCTCCTCCTGGCCTGGTGCCCACAGCTCCTGACTCAGGGGCCCCCAGGGCCTGTCCCACCACATTCCAGGGCAGCCTGTGCAAACATGGGGCACTTCCCCACCTGCCCCCATGGGCACTG